ATAAAAAGAAAAATTAATGTCTCTAATTAGTTGACGCTTTTTATAACTGGCAGTTAGTCGTTAACACAGTCAGTATTGGTAAAATGACAGTGAATTCCACATTGCTTATTTAATCTCCGCTTCGTGTGGAGCAATCAGTCTTGCATTTACACTTATTACCACACCAACTGCATTTTGCGATCTAAGTGCCGATACAGCAGTCTCCGGACTAGTTAACAAGTCAGGAAACTCTGCTACAACAGCTTCCAAGTCAGCTGCATAGTAGTAAATGTCTAATATTCCTGAACTACATCCAAGCTTGTATTGACCTCCCTCTAACACCTCTACCAACAGACTAGTAGAATATAATGAATCGTATGATCAAAGCAATTATGGCCGTTATAACAAAAAAGGATAAGTTGAGTGATTTTTCAAAAAGAAATAGAATGAAGACCAATGCCATGTCGAACAATGACATAGATTTATAAATTGAGGAATATCAACATTGCAATTCGGTGTCTTTTACTTAGCATCGTCAGGAAACAATAATAACAAACATGTCTAATAATCTTTTTAACTTCATCTCTCGCGCCAGATGTGATGAATTGGTGGAGAATTACTTGAATAATATGTCACTTAATTGTCGCACAAAAGCCATTCCGACTCAACAAATCGTAAACCAGGCGATTGAAATCCTTAACGGTTCAGACACAAGTGCAAATCAAAGATATAACCACTGGTACTGCAAATGTTCAGCGTGATGCATATTGACAAAATGAAAATTCTACTACTCAAAAAAACCCGCGTGTGTTAGAGAGAATATGTACGATGTAATCTGTTCTATACATCGAGATTTACAACACGCTGGCTACAGAAAGACATTCGGAGAACTCCAACACCATTTGTTAATGCATGTAGCATTTGCACGCGTTAACGCAATATCGTAATTATCATATTTCAGGAATATTAGACGTTTATTAATGCATTATGCGAATATGAGTATACGTAAAATGGTAGGGAGTAGAGTGTGAGAATGTGCAACTAAAGAGGGATAAATATTTCCTTTGGTTTGATCCTTATTCTATGAAATGAGTAATACTATAGTAGTGAGAGGAGGGTGCAGAGTGAGCAAGACGCAATAGAGGATATGTATTTTTTTTGTCGTAGATTGAATAAACAATGTGCATTCAGCATATGCCGACTGCGTTAAACATTAAATTTCTTTTATTATTACTATTATGTTTTCATATTTGCTATTCATAAATAAATTCGCTTGTTCGAGTGTTCACTATTACATTTATTATTATATTATTATTGCGAATTATGAAGTGAGTATGTTGATCATCACATACAACAATTCTGAAGTGGGTTGACCCATATCAGAATTCGGAAATGGGTTGACCCGATTCGGAAGTGGGTCAAATTCAGAAATGGATCAGAACATATACATAATACTCTGTCCATAGTACCCCGTACTCTCCCCTTATTACAGGATTTGTAAAGTATTTAGACGGTAAGCCACATGATAAAATCTTCCTCCGCAGTCAAACAAAGCACTAATACAGATTCAAAATTAGCAATACAACGTGTCGAGAATTTTGCTACAGCGCCGTGTGCATTTTCTGTCGGAAATTCTGCGACAGGACAAACTCTAAATTAATTTATTGTCCTTATTAGAAATAGTAGCGTTTCACTTTTTCTGCGACGCTAAAAGATATATAAGTAGTTCATTCTGATGACTAAGGAAAATATCTCGACATTATTGCAAAATCCAGTCTATGTTACCCTCGCCAAAAAGCTCGGAGGCGAGCCCGCTCATAGATATTACACATAAAATTAGCATCCAGAAAGCATACCAGCTTGCCAACCCCGAAGCGAAAAAATGTCTCCAACAACCGGGTTTTCGCGGTATTTGTTCAATGGCTTACTACAATGAACATGCTTAGCAAAACTCCGCGAGGAGACAGTTTTACACCAAATGGTTTACAACTTCCGCAAAAGTCAGGACTTGGAAATCGGAATGCCGAGCTCTAGTTGCGGGTAGTAGTAGCCAGACAAGTTAAAATATTTGATCCGTATATCTCCTATCTTTAAGACAATGCTATATATATTGACGTTACAATAATTGAATTCAAAGAAAATAGCAAAAGACGCCACGTTATTGGCCAAATAAGGTCTCAAAAGGAATAAGGAAATGATTAGACACAAAGGAAACTTTATTCTTGGTCGAATACTATAATACAAACTTATGAATAAAGAGACTATAGTTAACGCTGGTCAAAACGTAGCTCGTGTCGTGGGTTATGCCAGCACCTTTATTCCTGTAGGAGGCCCGATACTAGCAGCAATTGCTCTGCTGGCTAACGAAATACTTAGTTTAACTGAAATAGCGGAACACAACAAAAGAATATGCCGTAATCTGTCAGAACGCGTGCAGACTGCCAATCAATTACTGCAAAATAAAATGCTAACTGCAGAAAGAGACAACGTTGCCTTGCTTAACTACCAGAAGGCGCTCGAGAGATGCAAAACATTTATCCAGACGATAAGCAAGACCTCGTCATTAATACGCATTCTTACTGCGCGTGAGGTGTGCTATTCTACATGATTCGATGCATTCCATTAGTAACTAACACAAATGTCAATATCTTCATTCAGATCGAAAGAGATTTTAACGACGTTACAAGAGATCTTGACTTGGCTGTTGGTGAGCTTGGGCTCCAACAAATAGTAAGAACGCGCGAACAAGTACGGCGGGATAATCAAATGCTACGCGATGAAATTAAAGAATCTTTGCAGGTTATCGAGAAAGCCCTTGCAAACATTTTCGATGCGCAGATGAGCGTACAAACAAAAATGGAGGTATTGGATGCGAAGTTGGAGACCATCCACTCGGCAATGACACATGTAGATGACGTTCATATAATGCCGCCCAATATCGAAAGTACACGCATATCCAGTGCCCGCGTGACCGATGTGCTGGAAAACGGTCTACCAGTCGTGCGAGGAAATGGAATGATTAAAAAGAAAATATTTATTGCGCAGACGGTTGCTGAAAAAACTTTGGGTTATCTTCGCTCAATGTCACGAACTTTAAGTACTATCGAGAAGCAAGTAGCTATATTGACCGAATTGAGAGATTGTCAATATATTATAAGATTGTGAGTTGTTGAAATGTGCTCTTGGAACTTGTATTTGTTTTTAACGACTATCGCTAAACAGGTGCGTTTTTAACAGCTATGGCACCCTCCAACGAGATGATTGCTTGTGCCTGGTTATGGAATGGGCTGAACAAGGCGATTTGTACACATATTTGCATCAAGTACCAAATTTATCCTGGGATTTTAAAATAAGGGTAGCCACCGAAATTGCAAGCGGATTAGTGTTCTGTCATACTTTTGACATTCTTCATCATGATATTAGAAGGTATGTTGTAATTAATATTGATCTCGGAGGCGAGATGCCAGCAGCATATCACTAATAATGACATTACTTTCCGACTAATTGCGCTATACAGTCACAATATCCTTTTGACTGCTGAACTGACTGCCAAAATAGGTAATTTCGAGTCAGCCCGCAAGGACGCTGAAGATAGCGTAATTCAAATTCCTGATCTTTATCTGCGATATCGGTGAGTCGCTCGAAATGATAATACGGTTGTTTTTCCCTTATCATGCAAGTGTTTGACACATGTTTAACGTTAAATAGGTGGCTCGCTCCGGAGAAACTGAAGGATTATGCAAATACCAAATATAATAAACAATGTGAGATTTACAGGTAAATACCAGAAAAAGACAAGTACATCTTTAAACTTTGGGTAAAAACTTATCAGTTTCTGCTTCTTCTCACAAAGCTTCGCTATCGTCCTATGGGAGCTTGCTTCCCAACAGTTACCATACAACAATATAGAATCTACCAACGTTCTTACAAATCGAGTAACAGCAGGCCATAGACCGCCTCCGATATCAGAAACTCCTGAAGTATATCAACAAATCATGGAACTCGGATGGTGTGACTACGAACTAAAGCGCCCTACGGCAGCATCTATGTTCAATACACTCAGTCATCTCAAACCATCAAATGGAAGATCACAGTTAGATATACCCAGTAACAGCCTCCTTACCCTATATACCCCTATATCTATGCCCACAACACCTACTACAGAAGAAGGAACGACTGGCTATGATCGTAATCCATCAAAAGGTGGGCAAAATGCTCAAAAAACTGCCACGGGGTCCCCTCAAGAATATGATACGATGCCTGAGCCTGATTCCACTCAAGTAGGTATTTCTATACTAAGAGATAGTCACAAACCTTTAGGTATATCTGATGCTCTCGGTCTGCACCGTCAAAAACTCTATGCTCAAGCATGGCCCATATTTGAAGCACTCGCGGAACAGGAAGACGCACTAGCAGAGTTCTATGTTGGGTATTACTTATATTCTGGTAAACACACAGTACGGCATGATCCTGAACGAGCCGTCGAGTATTTCAAGCGTGCAGCTACCAAGGGTATACCAGACGCGCAGCTTCGTTATGCAGTCGCATTGCTCGAAGGTGTGGGAGTTGAAATGACACCCGAAACTAATCGTATTGGCGTTGAGTATTTGATCAAAGCAGCTAGGAATGGGAATTCAAATGCTATGTACAATTATGGTGAATTGCTGATTAATGGATTACATGTGGCGATGGATCTGGCGGAAGGCGAAAAGTGGATGAGGATGGCACACGACAGAGGACATCCATCTGCGTATAGAACCTTGGCTGATCGGTTGAAAGAATTAGGTCAAGCTGTGCCTGAGGATGTGTCTGAGAGCTTGAATGCAAGTGTATAATTTTAAGCTTTAAATAGATATTTAAGATCAATCAATCATTGTAACATTATGTATATTTAATGGGTTTATTGTAATATAAACCCCCAAAAATTATAAGATACGACCGATTAGAACTAGCATCAATATATTCTTCTCAATGGAACACTCGGAGAATTTTTAGTATTAATAACTACAGTACGAATCGTAATTACCATGGAATTCTTATTACAGAGTAAATTACAACACATCATCACGAAATTTCCTCATCACAATATTATACTCATAAATTACCCTTTCTCATCCAACTTAATTCATGCCTCCCCACCATTCTCTCCCATCTCCTAATTTCATTCCATACATCCAAACATCATATCTTACATGAAATACTGCTCCCCAGCTCCTCTAAACGTTAGATTCCTATCCTGCTCTCTATCAGACACTGCTTTGAATATCTTAAAACTATTTTCACCAATTTGCAACTGTTCGTCTATTTGCATGATGGATGCCACATTACCGCAGCGATAACAATAGTTAGGAGCAGACCACACTGTGACGAGATTGTCGTCGGGAAACATGTATTTATAGCCTTCTTGAACAAGTTGATGAGCTCGGGCTATCAGTGTTAGATCGTTGACATAGTTGAACTTTGAAGATTGAATGTGTGAAAAGGAATAATTGGAGATTATAAAGGTGAGGGAGGATACATGGAAATAATTTCTGCGATCCTAACAATAATTGACACACACCTCATTCGTGACCTTTGCTCCAAACAACCATCCTGCTCCACGTGGACTCACTGCCCACGTCTCAATGTCTTCCGGATCAGACCACATCAAATCTTCCAGATTCATAAACTACGGTTAATATTCGACATTGTATATTACGTAAGACAAAATGTCAATGCTCACCACAGAATGCTCCTTCGTGAGGAATCTCTTGTGCGCGCGATATCGTCCGTATTTGGTCGAGCGTCCTAACTTCCGGTGACAATCCACCATGAACGCATAGTACCCTTCCATCTACTATCTACATTTTACAAACGGAAATCCGCACTTAATTGAAAGAGCAAGGGGTTCTATGGGATGCGAGGGATAGCAAAACTTACTGCTGCTAGCGTCAGATAGTCGAATACTTGGCAGCAGTATTTCCACACGTTGGGGTTTCCATATTTCCTTTGACATTCATCTGTATGATTGGGGGTGGCGCACAAGTGAATACATGGCTATAGTACCGCGGGTATCAAAGGTGTTGACGTATTTTACCATAGAACCCATAAACTTGTGTTATTTGCCTGCTCTCGTGGTTGCCTCGTAGAAGAGTTATTTTATCTGGATATCTATGGTAGATACGTAAGTTTTTTTGGTTTTTTTTTGCATCGAATTCGAGTGCATTAAGAAACTGATTCATACCTCGCTTTCAATATCATCAACAATGTAAAAGTCTCTAGACTGTAATATCCACGATCCACAAAATCGCCCTTGAATTGCGTTGAGAAGTAACGGTTGATAAGACGAACACATATAAAATAATAATAGTATGCAAATACACATGATTTTTAGATACATATAATAACAATTAACACACATTCTCATAACTATATATTCCTTGCACCATTCGTTCGCTGATCAGCCATATGAACTGTCCATTACCATGAATATATAATGCGTATCCGGTATCTCTCCTCCCACATGAAACAACTCCAACAGATCATAAAACTGTCCATGGATATCGCCACATACAGTGACCGGCGTATGTACCGGCTGTATATTTGACTCTTCCATTAACAATTCTTTAACCTATACGAATGCATGTTCAAACAGGATCATTAATGCCTTTATACTTCGTAACATAACCACCCAACATAGTCCTCTAATACTCAGCTCAGACTTGAAGACGAGAGTAACTTCGGGTCGAGCTTGTTGGGGACTGATGCGTAGTGGAAAAGTGTTTCGAGGAGGAAAAGCAGGGGGACGGGGGGGGTATAAGGTGTACCATCTCACAAAGTTTTTTCATATCTGTTTCTGAAAGGAATTGGCATTTGCGTATCGTGGGTAGCCACTCGTCGGGACCTGCCATGTCTGTAAAATTGTTATATTATATTGTCGTTTCTGTTCGGTTTTTTAAATGCTTAAACTAATCTATTCGGCTGCAATGTTGTTTCAAGTCATCACGTGTGGTCATGCATAATACCAAAAAGTATTCACTGGATGTCGATCAACTGTAATTTGCAATTCGGATTTGTATAAACGCGTGAATCGCTGCAAGGTTATTTGGTATATTTTGTATTTTATTGAAGGGACAAATTCAAACAGCATAAGAAGAAAAAAGCATAGTTTTGTTTGATTGACGCTCGATGCGAAAGTTTGAGATAATGAGGAACCTGTATTCAAAGAGCAATTGTTAATGAAAAGATGAAATTTGATTAATTTCTTTCCTAACTAGTACAAGACTCAAATATTCTGCTAGAAACAAATTTTATAAAAAAAAACTAAATTAACCTGGTGAGAGAAGTGTTATAATTGACAAAGAGTATGTACGGTGAATTTATCAATGTAGTTGTTGCCAAAATTGTGATCTTCTAACGTATCTGCTTCAATTAAAGCGTGTGGCTAACGTCAATGGACGGCTACTTTTACTTTTTATTGTCGGAATATACCGTATATTTGTTGCTCTGGGTTGCTAACCCTATCAGTATACGCTAGTTTTGAATCAGTCTCTCAGAGCGATAACCTTTAATGCTTCATTCCGTCTACATCTTATTAAAATGTCGACACGATGAAAAGTTTAGGCCTCGGAAATTAATGTAGGCGACACGCCATACACTTGTAATGCTGCAGCTGCTGTACAATTGGTAGAACGCGACTCTTTTGGCCGTAACCCTGCCGCTAGAAACTTGTAAACAAGGAGAGAAATTATAATAGAACAAACGACTAACACAGTTTTTCGATTAAAAGAGTATTTAAGCAAGAAGAAGGTTTAATTTTTGATTCATTATTGAAATCATTTTCTTAATTAACTGGCATTGTCCAGCTCCATGCGGGCAAGTATGTAATTCAATACTTAGTGTAGTATACTATTAATATAAGAACAGTATGGATATAAATGTACTGGTAACATAATTAAGATACATTCAACACACTCTCCAATCGGGCAAAAGTTTAAACCTAGAAAAGCTTCTTTTTTATGTCTGTTGTTTGAAATAGAATTTTACGCTTTTCTGATAAGTCGGACACGACTGGCTGGGGAATCCGGCTTGTCGAGTTTCCCGACTTGCCGAGTGTCCGAATTATTGAGTTTACCTATGTAATTATCGCGTCTTTTAAATTTAGATACTAAATTTGTACGTCGTACCGCGTTTTATTGTACACCTTGTGTTGTGACGCATTTGCGTTGAAGGCTTGCTTGGGCCAATTTCGACATGTTGCAAACGTAAAGAAAAAGATTTCAATATAAGACTTTAAATAAGGCAGTTACAGTAAAAAAACAATTTAATAATAAGCCTAATCAAAGAATTTAGAATTGTTGCAAAATATTAGGTACAGATTTATTAACTAGTCTTTACAACTACAGTATATTTACATTCTTTATATTCTGGTAAAAAATCGGGACCCCATTTACTTACATTTTGTATAACCGTCTACATAATATTTTGCCAGAATCGCCAAGTCAAATGCCCGATTTAAATCTGATCGGTCAGAATTTTAGTTTCAAAGACGTTTTATAAAGAAAAAACACTGCTTTACTTGTGACTGGTTACATTCCATTATTATACTGCCATATAATACACCACGTGATATATGCATTAGAATACTATAAGATTTAAGGATGTATGAAATAACAGACAATAATAAGTCGACCAGACAAAAGCATGCAATTAGAAGAGTTATGCAATTAGAGGGGTTTTTTTGTTAGACGGTTGAGATGCAAATGACGTGGCATACAGACAAGGATGGCAGGTAACTTTTTCGGACCAGAACGGAAGTCAAAAGGCACAAAGTAAGATTTGCATTATTCGCAGAAATTAACCATAATATTGTTACGGGCAAGCCGGTCTGATGAATCAGATAAGCAAGTCACATGGTAAAATCTTCCTCCGCAGTCATGTAAGACTCCATGATCAACATTTAGCTTTAGAATAGTACTAATGAGTGTTGCCCATCGTTTCGTATTTCGGGCGACAGTACCAACGCCATTAGCTAACTTGGGATTGAAGCTCGAATAGGGAGTTAGGAAGCGCGCATTTTAATCATTAAATTAGGTCACTTGTAGATTAGAATTCGGTCTTAATTGAACAACTATCGTAATAAGGGCGGTAGCACGAAGCTAATCTGGTAACATCCCAAGAACACCTCTACGCGAAAGATTAATCTCTCTCCCAAACCCCAGACCATCAGACCGTAACAATATGTCTTTTTACAAGTAGTTACTCAATACTAGTAGCATATACAATAAACCATCCATAAATGCAACCCCCCGTTTTCTGCAATTGCAACAGATTTGTGAGTCCCGTTCTAGTAGATTTGTTTCCCCAAGTGCAACTCACGTGATTCACGTAATAGTAATATCATTTGTGGTTGAATTTTCCTGATGCAATGACAACAAACAAGTTAAAGTATTTGTCTTTTCCAGAGAAAGATATCATTTTGAGCTTTCTGAAAGTGGCGATATTATTTCTTTATTTAGTGGAGAACACGATGAAGCAATAGTAATGAAACCGCAATAGTGAGGCATTAAAAAGTTTAGAAAACATAAAGATGTTTCTAATTCAACAAGAGGGAGCCAGCAGTTGTAGCATAACGCAATTCTTAGTTAACAATTAGGGATACTGATAGCTAAATTTTTTACGTAACTTTAGTTGGAAATTGTAATAAAGGGAAATCTTTTTAATAGACACAAATCGTTAAAATCTCTTTCCTATTAAGAAAATCTCCATAAATGTAAAACCTCCCATAAATGCAACATAACACTCAGTCCCAGGGTGTTGAATTTATGGAGGGTTTACTGTAATTTTCATCCAATTATTACTTTAAATTATTCTTGACATTGTATAAACAGCGTTCTCTGTTTCGTATAAAAAAAATCTTAATAGAAACATAATCGGTTGCCCAATATATGTTCATTTTAGCGTAAACAGACTTTTTTTTCATCATTTTTTAACCAAGACTATAAAATCAAACGCAACCAAGCGTATCTTTGCTCATAAGACTTGCTGCCAGATTGAGTAATCATGACTTGGCTTTTTTATTCAGCTCTTGAATCTTTTGTGTAAGAAAAACGCCCTAAATGACGTGATTGTTGGATTGTAACCTATGCATGATAGACAACCCTTATAAGTAAATAAAGGTTCTCCTGACAATATTACATAACACACCCCTGTCGAAGCTTATTGCATAGGTATGCATACAACCGAATTCGTTATAAACTTACTTCAAAACTGTTTGTTGTAAATTTATTTATTTTTTACAAAAAAAAAAGGTTGATTACTACACGAATAAGCACTCCTTATTATTATGGCTAAAGGGGCGTTTATCGATTATAGATTACGTTACACAACATAAACTCAGAGTTACAGGAAAAATGACTTTGCATATCGTATTATGTATTCTCTTTTTAAGTTCTGTGCCAGATCTTAATAGACAAGGTTGATCTTGCATATGTGTGCAGCAAAAAGTCAAAGAGATGGATGGGGTTTGACGATGAGGGGTTTGGCGATGAGGGGTTTGGCGATGAGGGGTTTGGCGATGAGATGAGGATTCCTATTATTATAAGCATTCATTGTCCAGCATTAAAGAACAAGCACTCTTTACTTGAACTATATGTTTAAGCGGAAGTTGGGGTAGGCGTGTTAGTATGGGCTCGAACATACAATCTAGAGCGCTGGTTGAGTATCCCGGATGTAAGCAATGCTCGAGAACGCCCGATTTTTTGTCACTTTAGTATTCTATCAATAGATGGATTTTATCATGCACCAATTGTAGGGAATTTTAATAAAGGGAAGAAATTAACAATATTAATATCATGCATCCATCGATTATATTATAAGATCCGATGACAATCTATAAAATTTTACATCAGTATTTATTACTTGACAGGTTTAGGTGTAAACTCTATGAGTTACATTATTAGTATTGTTAATATTAGTCATGTGTCAATGTAACAGTCAATGCAGATTTTTATATATGCAATACGTTAATCGTGTGGCTTGGAACATGCAGTCATAAAAAGTCAATCAAGCACGTTCACAAAGTTTACAAATTACTGGCCGATATCGAGTGAAGTGCTGCGTACTGCCTTTTAAAGGACTAGCACTACATATAGGCATCGATAACAACACCAGTATTATGCAAATAAAGAAAGTTTTCAACCGCCTTGCTCGTATCCCCTGTGTGATGGCAACAGCTATTAATCTCTATTTAATGCTGTGTCTTTATGGGTGCAGTTTCATGCTCTATACTACAGTCCAGTTAAACGAACTTAAATACCCCGTGTTGCGTCTAAAGGCCCTCATGTACACAATCTGCGGGATAAGTGGTGTTTGAGAGAAACAAGTATGCCAAGGTGCACGTGAATACTAAATTGATATATAAAGGCTGTTCCAGCAACCTGACGACAATAAGAATATGATGCAATAGCAGTCACGCACGCAAACACTTCTCACTCCATCTGCATTCGTTCCGCCCACTCTCGTTGCAAGAACACATCCTTGAATACTCGACTTCCTTAACTACAAACAATACTCGCAAAAGAAAGAAGCAAAAATGAGCCATAACGATACAGCTGAACTTCTTTGTGATTGGCGTATTTCCTTGGAAGGTTTGTCACTATATATCCAACAGTTTTATTATTATTATAATTATTATTATGTATACGCCTGCATGACCATGCATATGGTCTACTTGAGAAACTACACGGGCTCCGATACTGCTATGTAATTGGTTATAAAAGTTCCTCGCGATAAGCTATGTAATTGGTTACACTGAAACGCGAAATTTCAAAAAAAGCAGCATACCAGCAAAATTGTCTTGAGACAAATTATCAAAAATTGCGTTTTCTCATATCATGTCAATAGTATGTTTACAATCCTATAAATTATAAATTGATACCTAGTCCGATATTCAATAATATCAATTGATTTAGTATTACAATTAGCTTTGAGAAGATAAATTTATAATAAAGTGTTAAATTTTTTAACTGTATTCTTTTTCCTCTTTTCACTATTTTCATTGTTTCTTAGGATGTACAACGGAACATCAGTTTTTACGCAATTTGTACCTAGTAAATACCGTAGCCTGCTTTTTCATCTTTGTGATGATCACTGGACTCTTAATATGGCGCTTAGCTGTACGTGGTCACCGCTTAATTGCTAAAGATCCTAGGAAAGAAATGGGAATACTAAGGCCTCGGCCTTTAGAAGGATTTTTATTATTGAGCATGTTTCATGTTGCGGGTAAGATATCGGACAAGGAAAGTTTTGAATCCATGAGAGAAACATGAAAGAAACACAGGGAAAAAATTAACAGCAAACAAACCTTTTTCTTCTTCTTCATAGGACGGTTACTTTATTCCGTGTGTTTATTAAGCGATTTTCTTCCTAACTATGCCATAAAAGAATGTAGGCATATGATTGATTTTCTAACGATTTCATGAACAAATTGTTTGCCTACGCTTACTCTTTCTCATTTATCCTTAGTCTTCCACGATATAACCTTCACCATTTCGCTAGCGGGCATGGGAATGTACCTGATCGGGTTAATCTATACAATTCCCAAATCCTACACATTTCAACGTCGATTAAATTCATATACTATTACTCCTAATGACCATCAAAGATTTGTATGGATTCCAAGGCCGTCTGTGGTAGATGCTTTTGGATTTTTGATACTTCTTGGACCAGTTGTCTCCTTGAACGCTTTTGCTATTTTGACAGGAGTCTATTACGACATTGGTGACATGTCAACTGCTGAAAAATGGCTTACTGTGCATTATCTTGCATGGAGCTTTTTCTGTTGGATTCTGATATTTGGGCTATTGTATATTGGCAAGCAGTTGACCGCAATTATTGTCAGACATATTGATGTAAGGCTGTTTGTTTAAAGTAAAAATAATAACAATTTTTTTTAGTAAAGCAAATTTAACTTTAAATTCCAAGCTAATATAGTCTGCTGTTTGGTTTAATTTTAAAGGAAACCAAAGACTCTGGTACGGTCAGTGAATCAAAAGTCCGAAGTCTAGCCCTCGGATTAAAAAAGGTAATATTTTTGTCACGATTAAAAGCCATGTTATTTCCGCGCTTATTAAACAAGTTCTAAAATTTTAATTCCGTTTTTTTTTTTTTACCCAGCTTCGCTATGTCCTAAACCTCGTCCTCAGCACACTTCTGTTCTTTGCTATTGTCTCCCTGCTCTTTGCTCTCTTCCGCCAATACATCCTTTCCCACAATCTTATGCTTTCTTACTTTCTTGCTACCTGCTGGGTTCTCATTGTACCAGTAATAACCGTGATTGTCATCACGGTTCTTGCGATAGAAATAAACGAAAAGGAACGTACGGGTGTACACATATTGAGACAATCATCACTTGCCGGACCTACGGAAGGTGAGCCGATGGCGAGAACAGACGCGTATAAATCAAAAGACAAAAAAGGGTTTCAGAGATCTGGAAGTGTTTCGTTTTCAAAGACGGAAGAACTCAGTACGGTCGGTACAGTCGGTACGGTCAGTACGGGCGGATCGATTGCAGTTGGAGAAAGTGGATATAAAGGAATGGATGCCGATGATGTCAATGCTTCACCAGTTTTGTTAGCTACGGCTACCAATACAGCCGAATCGTCAAATGATAATGATCAGCAAAACGAGTCTAATTTAGGTGACATTGCACTTCAGCCATTGTCAGCTACTTATGTTGCCAATTACAAACGATTTTGATTGGTATCTTACGGGACTACACGGACTGTATAAAAGAATTTTGACATCTCGGACACTTTTAAAGTACTCTCGTTACACACAACCATCTTGTATATACACCTACGACAAAACACATCAACTTCGTTTTCATTCCTAACCATCGTTCTATATATATATATATATTTTTTTTTGCCAACGACAACGACAACAACACATACTCTATCACTTTTTCGATTCTTTACTATTATTATATTTCTCCCTAACTCTCTCTTTTTTTAAGTAACTTGTCGGGCGCAATTTACGAGAATCTTTGAAGTATATTTTATATGCCTTGTCAAATATGCCAGCTTTATATACTATTGGTCATACGATTTTTGGCTTAAAAGCCTAAGGTATGTCATTCTCTTTATTTTTATTTTGGCGGGTTCTAACGGCGTTGTAACATAGTTGTTCATATCCTTCCCCTGTTTAGCTAAAATGTATGTATAACTGTATGTATTCCTGTATGTATTACTGCAAAAATTCTATTTTCTAAAATGTAAACTAACATTTGACCATAAATTTTACAAACGCTATGCTTACTATATATTTTCTTGGCATATTTGAAATGAGTTTGATTTGACAAAAGGACCAAGTATCAAGGCGTTTATTGTTTGAACTCGCCAAGTCTTTAATCAGATGTTTTATCCTTTATTACATGATTATAACTTCAAAAAAGCAATTCCTCTTTTAATTAAATAAAAAAGCTATATTGGTTAACGTTTTACCTTTTATTTCACATATCTCAATCTACGATTATAGGTAATTCCGATAATTTCTTAAGCATTATGAATCAACTCTCTTAAAGGAACGTAGGTACAAGAAAAGAAGGAAAGACAAACCAGTTTTGTGGCGCTTGTCGCCACTTTTCTTGTTTTTTTCCCTCATTTCTTGTCCTCTCCATTCATATGCCTCTTCCCTTGCGTCATTTTTCTTGATCTTTATGCCCTAACGAACGAACGAATCAGAATCAATAATCACAAAACCAAACAAAATTGACATGAAGTTGAAAATAATGTTTTATTTACGAATTAGTACATAGTTCATGTTTGATAAATAAAGCATACCATTTAAGATAGTTAGCATATCTTGATGCCGTAACCAATGAAAATTTGCAGACTTGCCGTCCCAAGTCATTGTGATACATGCTATATATACACAAAGTTTACTGGAAAGATAATCTGACAGCTGTCACATGCTTATAATCAGGTGGTTGTTTGTTTGTTGCTTACGCAGGAAAATGGTCAAAGTGAATACCAGGTTTCTGAGTACGGTTTTGTGTGTTTTCTGGTATAACAGTGAAAATTGTGTAGCACAGAGACGACGCGTCTTTATTCGGTAACGTTGTAATTGTCCATGTTCCTTATATAGCTTAGCTTACACAAGGGTTTGACTGCCAATAATTTGTTATGGGAATTATCGGTCGAATTAACGCACACGTTGAATTAACGACCACTCAATAATAATATCGTGTGGTAAGTGTTTTCCGGTACAATATCTTTAGCCAATTCCAAGTTATTTTTTCGCTGATATGTCTTAGAGTTTAAACCTGCAGCTATCGCTACAATATGTTAGGAAATAAAGACCAATCTTATTTATTACAGAAAAGCATTATGCCAGATCAGAGTAAAAACTGCGATTATTTGTACACAGTGAAATTCACTTTAACGAAGACATTCGTTCCACGATTTTGCTTCGTTAACCTGAAAGTTCGCTTAAGTGAACTGTCTTTTTATATGAAATATATGAATCCGTTCTGGAAAGAACTTCGTTATAAAGCGATCTTCGTTAAAGTGAGACTTTGTTAAAGTGAATTTCACTGTGTAGTAGTAATATGTCTATAGATTTAGTTTACAAATATTTGACGTCAAATTGGAAACCTTTCCTCTGTTGCCATGTGCTATCACCTAATTGTATAAGAGACATACCTATGCTATGAACCATTAATGTCATAACGCACATTATAAATTATACAAAAATGTTACGCCTTAGCATTTTTTTTTTTTTGCATGCATATTTGTTCGCTTTATGTCCGGGCTTTGCCAGGCTTTTATTAACGTCTGCTCTACTATAATTACAGTAATTCTGTAACACTGTGAGTGGTAAAGTCACAATAAAATGCTGTTGTTTACGCAATTTGTGGCTATTTAATTGTAAGATACTGTATATAGAACATGAAGTAAATCATTCGTTGTGCCTCGATCCAACGTTTATGTCGACAAAAAGTTCTTGACACTTTCACGTCTGCGTCCAACTTTCAGTGGCCCAATGCTACATGTAGACATGATAACAATGTATGCGCGAATTCTAACACTTTATAACAGCAATACCAGTTAGTTATTATTCTAATGTCAATGAAATACTCTTGTAGTGTTGTCGCCTTATCTACCGATTCAACTGATATACAGCAAAGATAATACAGTCAAAGCTCGTTATAATGGAACGTTGGGAATGACCCATAAACTCCACTATGGTATGAGCATGTACGATTTGTTATAGTGGACTTTTTAATGATTGCACGTGTAATTCCATTATATTGTGAAAATTTATATTTTCTACTTGATACAGTCATGCCATAAATTGGAAGGCTAATTAATAATAAACGTCAATGGATATATCTTGTAAGGGAAAGACCTGGATAAAAGTAATAAATTTAACCAACCAATCATGTTTCGAATTTGCTCCGTCCTCATTCCTATTGGCTGAAGCCCTATTTCCATTAGGGTCCGTATTATTTCATCGACAATCATTTCACCGACAGTACATTTCACCGACAATTAACTACCAAAAAAGGAT